TGTTTTTGGGCCGTGCGTGTGCAGCCGTACCGATAATTCCCGACGGTAGGGTACTTTCAGATTACAATATAGGTCTTATTTTAGATTTTAGCAGTCGTAACGTGGGGCCTACTTGCGATACAATTAGTTCGAATTAGACTCTACATAACTCCAAAAGCTGGTGGAAAATTAGTATTAATTATTAATACATTAATTGAAATACTACAAACGCATAAAGCACTACAAATTGACAAATACTGTTCTGTAAATCTGAATTACTTAAAAATAGTATTTGATAGAAAAAGTCCTTTACTGATTCAAATAGTAATATTTTCCTAATGAAATAGTTAATGGTAACTAATTATTAGTTTTTCCCAATCAAATTAAATTCCCGATTGGTAGACATCTGTTCAGATATATTAGTAGAAACTAAAACCCGTCGAAGACGGGTACGACAGCTAGTATTATAATAATATTAATAAAGATTAATATCGCGACTTGGAATTTTGATCATTTCCGAATAATTAATAATTGTCGATAAAGTTAATTACCGTAATATTAGCATCAAAGGGGAATAAAAGAGTGTTCGTTTATTATAAAGAAACGAGTAATTAGTGTATGGTAAAACGATACAACTAATTATTATCCAAAGAAGAGTGGCTGCTTATAGAAAATGAGAAAATATGACGAAGCACGGTTCTGACAAGTTTTACACGCAAATCCGCTCACTCTCTCTCTTTATCTTTGAAAATCCTTCATTCTCGTCACTATTTCAAACACCATCTCTATATAGGATATCCTGACTTCCGCCTCTCACTCTCATAATAACTCGATATCGCTGTCTTGCGTTATATATCCCAAGGAGAAAGCATCATAAGTTTCCGGGATGTTCAGTAATTGGAACGTTACAAAGATCCGTCTGATGGACAACTTGATCCCCTAGTGAATTTCTAAAAGAACGAATGATATACCTCCACCACCACCGTCTTGTCTCCTCTCCCGCATCCAAGTAACACACAAATGCCATTAATTTCAATTGATAAAAAGGAGAAGATACAAAAATTCAACGACAAATTTATATACGTCCGGATGAAAAGGGTCCTGAGAGTGTTTTTGATCGAATTCCAAATAGTTTGAGAAAACTTAGAAATCTCTAGCTGAAAAATTGGCCAATTTGTAGGGTTTCTAAGTTGGAAGTATTATAAAACTGCACTAAAAGTTAGCTATCCGTAGACTGAGAGAAAAATGCTATCGAATCAATGACATATTTGTTTCTCGCAATAAACGGCATATTCAATATCGTTCGAATACAAATACTTATTGCTCTTTAAAACCCTACTTCAAGCTACACTTTTTTTTATGGTTTAACACACAACATACATAATTTGAGATATAGAAGCTCGCAATCTGATTTAAACTCACAACTTATCCCAATATTAACTTAACACACTACATACAATCATAATACATTTAAATAATGTTGATTTGAATTCTCTTATATACAAAAATGACGAAATTAATACCGATTGTGAAAGAAAAACTTAATTTTTCAAGTAGGTACATTCAGAGGCAAAAAATGTTTAATAACCTAGTTACATTATTTTATAAATATTTTTTAGACTTTATTTTTATCATTGTTAAATAAAGTATTTACTTAAAGTTTATAGAACGATATTTTGATATATAATGCAAATACTATTAAATAGTAAAAATATACTTTCCCATTAAAAAATTAATTTCCACAAGACAATACCTAACATCTTTAATTTAAATTAGTATGGCCACAATTGGTACTGTCAATTTTATAGCATCTGCTTTCGAATGTATTTGAATACATCGTTTATAATAACAAAAACACGTGCTATTGATTCAGAAGCATATTCTATTGTCTAAAATATACATCTTTACAAACTTTAAATACTATTTATTAATTTAACAAAATTTTATTTAAAATAATGGCAACACTTAATTAAAATTAATTAATATTTTTTTAATAAAATTTTATCAACCCTACATCTCAATCATTTTACATACTTTCATAATTCAATACAGAAATTATTGCTTCAAAAAAATTGAATTCTTTTGTTCATCCAAAGTAAATTTTTCATTGGCATTTCATGACTTTACAATGCTTTACAATTACCTATAAACCGTAAACAAAAATCACCTGAAAAATTGCATTCAACTATTTATTTTGGGCGTTCATGTTTTTATTGTTTTTAAAAGGATTTTCAAAGAATTAATTATGGAAAATATTTTTTTTATTATTGTGTGCCATTGGTACTTTGACTCCAAACAGAAATTTTGCATTAAGGTTTCTAGAATTTTTTTTTTAATTCCTATGGATTATATTGATCTGCATCCTTTTTTGGTTCAATAAGTACACTTTAACTTTATAAAAAAACCTTATTTTATTAAAAAAATATTATTTGTTTATTTAAAATTTAACAATAGTCTTAGACCTGCTGAAAGTACCGATGCCAGCTGCGTAATTGATTTCTCCGGTTAGAAAAATCTGAACCACAAAATTCAAGTTGATTTATGTTCAGTAGGACTGTGCTTATCGCACTACTCCAACTAGAATTTTTAATTTTTATGCAAAAATAATAAAATGGCGGCAATTTAAACAAAGATTTTAGAAAATTAAGGTTTTTTTTGGCAGTTTATCGGTTTAAAGAAATAGTAAAAATTAATATTTTTAAATAATTCTAGTTCCGGCGATATCCACACATGTGAAAAAGATTTTCGTAAAAAAATTTTGAGAATTGGTCCAGTAGTTTCCAAGAAAAACATGCATGCAAAATAGTGGTTTTGAGAAAAACGCGTTTAAAGATTGTGTTGTATTACTTACCTACATAGCCCGTGTACGCGCTCAAATAGCACTGAAAAAGATATATTTTGAGTGCTGGGATCTTTCTAAAAATTTTACACCACATTTTTCATATATTTTACTTTCGAAATCTGTAATAAAAAAAATTTTGATTTTTTGAAGTTGACAAAGTGGTATGAACCCTTAAATTAAAATGAATAAATAATATAAATTATTAATAATAATACAAAGGTTTTTGTAAAATGAAGCTTTTGGGGAATTGTGGGTCACGTTTTTGAGAAAGTATTTGTTGCTTGTTTTTGGCAATTTAATTGCACAATGCAGGTACATATTATTAAAATCACTCATAGCTATAGTAATTTAACAAAAACAATTCCTTTCATTGCGATTCATGGATTCGGTGCGTAGACGCCGATGAGTATACACGCGATTATTTGGAAAGGCGTAGATGGAAACTCTCCGCCCACTCATAAAAAGTGATACTTATTAATTACGATACAAAACTCTAAACAATTTAGCAAACGAGCAAAAGTGAAATGTGTGATAGTGATAACTAAACATTAAGTTGCAATTCCATAAACCAGAACTTATCTATTCACAAAAGTTGGTTAGGAACAGCCAAGGACGCTAACACCTCGATATTCAACGGTCTCCCACGTGCAAGCAAGATTTTAACCTGAGAGGATCATCCCTGCCGAATTATTCATACAGAACAATTTCAACTATTTTAAAAAAAGAAGAAAATAAAGAAGTCATAGTTAAGAATACATCAGCTCTCTGTAAGTAATTTCAAAATCATTTTGGAAGAACCACGCTGCAAAGCCGCTCAAATATAAGAGGTAAACAAATATAACCTTTATAGAGGTGAGATTCAGACAATACTCCTTTACCCTCCTTTCTTATTGTCCCAATAAGGAACGAAAAGCTATCCCTAATGTTGACTTTGATACAAAATAATACAAATAATAACTCTATGCCTAACAAATAATTTTGTCTCACAATTTAAAGTGATTTCGAAATTTAAATTTATGCTAGAGAAATACAACTCAGACATAAATTTCAATAGAATAATTTTCTTTTAATTTATATTCATTGCACGCTCCACTCATACAACAAATGCAGACAAGGAAGTTGTATTTAATATATATACATATATATAAATTAATCTAGAAATTTATCCAACAGAACCAGGACACCTCACGGCTAAGAATTACCCAACTCTGAATGGTCATCTACTTGCCTTACCGCGGAACCATATAATTCCTCAAGACCATTTGATGAAAACTGATGAGTCAACACGTACTTCTAGAGGAAATTCCACCTAATTTTCCCTCTACTTCGTATGATTCTGGTGGGGTCGGACTGCAGTGAAAACGTAATTCTCAATATTCAATAAAAGTTATCAAGGTATTTAAATATGCTTCTTAATCAAGAGGTACTGGTAGCCTCTTTTCGCTCTGCTGTGTTTTGCGCTGCTTTGGCATGTAAATCTTTTGATTTTGTATTGCTTTAAATGATTTTGATTTTGTATTGCTTTAAATGGATAAAAGGATTATTGTTTATGATAATTCTATAGAATATTTTGCTAGGAATTCAAAGACTATTTAATTTATATAATCCTACTTAGACACACAGTATATTCTATTTTGAAGTTATGCCTGTTTTTGTCTAGATGTAATGCTTGCCTAAACTTTATCTCTTTCACACAAATTACTCAGGCGGAAACTCTCGATTACTTTACGATAGTCTTAGTCAGTAATTATTTTACAACTTTGAAAAGTAAACTGCTTATCTCTGTTCTCCTTTTACTTGTTAAAATCGCAAGTGTGATATATACGTAAATACCATGGTTGTTTAATTTTCTCACGGGACACTATTTGATGGGGATAATTACAATTTTATAATATATATAATACCCACTACCATTCCTAAAGACAAGAGAGTTAAAATAAGAGTTTGATTTTGTTTTCTACTTCTTCCCTTTTTTATATATAAGATCCACTCGGCCTATTAATTAAACTATTAGTCTACCCTGAGAAAAGCCAATTTCTTTAATTGAATCACTCTCACCTATACGCGCTTTTTCTAATTTCGCAAATTTTTAGAAAACAACAAAACCCAAATATACTATATAACAATAACTCCAACAACAAATAAAATGGAAACAACACAAACTAAAAATCAAGAAATAATGTCGGACACACATATGCTTGGTGAAAATAAATCAACATACTCGCGTGGACCTAGAGGAAGAGGCTACAGCAGACCATCTTCGCAAAATTCACAGAATTCGGAATTATCATCACCCAGCCCTGGTACCTCGATGTTTTGCTCCTCGATCCTAACATCTGCCGAAAGACTACAAATTACATCAAAAACACAGGATGACAAATTAAAACAGATTCAGGACACAGCTAAAGAAAACCAACATCAGGATATCCAAATGACGTCACCGAACTTCAATAACAAAAGGAACTTTTCGGGATCCCATAATAATTCAGGAATCTCTCCACTCATACAGAAAAACACAAGAAAAAGGATAAAGAACACTGGAAACCCACATGATCACAACAATAATGGCTCAACTAAGGCCAACACTTCACACTACACAAACAACAATATAATGATACCTAAAGAAACACATCCCTCGAACGAGACTCAAACCCTCTCGTTAAATAAAGCACACATAGAACAAAATCAGCTACTACTGAGATCCCCCCCCTCTATCTCCAGCTGCTCATTCTACAACTCAACAAGGAATCAGGTCTTCTCCAAATCTGCACCAAGAATGGTTTGCCAACCAGGGTCCACCCCTTATTCAGTATAATGAACATAACGAAGCACCATTCTTGGTGTTAATGGAATCAACCATCCAGGACAGAAACCTAGGCAGATACGATCCAGTAGCAGTAGGCAAACTAATTGGAGGAATAATTCAAGGGAAAAGGAGGATTTTTACCAGCGGGAGAAATCAGATTAAAATTTGGTGTGAGGATAGAAACGACGCAAATATACTCTTTGCCTCTGAAGCTCTAAGGGATAAAGGTTATCGAGCCTATCTCCCAGACTCAATGGTATACAAGAAAGGCTTCATCCGCATACAACCGGAACACACAGTGGTCGAGGTAGTAGAAAATATGGACCCTGATCAAAAAGAATTGATCATATCTGCGAGAAGGAGAATCAACAGAAGGGATAACCAATTTTCAGACATCATTGACCTAACCTTCAACACTTCATATATTCCTAGATACATCTTCACATGGAGTGTGAGAATCTTCGTCACACCTAGCATTCCAATACCAAAAAGATGCACCACTTGTCAGCATTTTGGACATGTATCTTTACAGTGCAGAGCATCTTCTCCGAACTGCGAACACTGTGCTGGAAAACACCACACAAATTCATGCAACAATCCGCTTCCCACCAGTAAATGTTACAACTGCGCTGAGTTACATAAGGCTTCTTCGAGAGACTGTCTGGTCTACAAATTCGAATTTGAAACTATGAAACATAGATACATAGAAAATCTTTCGAAAAGAGATGCACGCATCAAACTCTACAACATGGGCTGGACAAACCCAAGAAGGTGCTCTATAACCAATACATCATCAAGCGAATTTGACAGTGGCTCAGAAAATAATAAGAGCCCTACCAGAAACAATAATAATAATTTCCCTCTAAGAAGAAGAGACCCCCTGGATGATGCTGAAGACGAAGAGTCAAACCACTCCAGCGATGACGTGGAAACAGCCTCAATGAATGATTTGGGTCTTCTCTTCCAAAGAGATCACTCAAAGGGACTTAAAGGGATACAATTCTTACAGATTCGACAGACCCGGAGAAGACGCCGGAGGAGGATCAATGCTCTTGGTCAAAAGAACAATCATCACTGAGAAACTCGTATTGAAAGGTCCATGGTCTGAAGTCATTGAAGCAGTGGGAATTAAAACGGAAACATCGGCTGGATCCTTATATATATTCTCGGTATACATTGCCCCTACAAAGAAGGTCACAGTGCAACACTGGATGGACCTGCTGGAAAACATCCCAATGGATGCTAAGTTAATCATTATGGGTGATCTTAATGCGCATATCCCACACTTCAAACCATACAACACCAATACATCAGGGAAAGCATTGCTGGATTTACTGGAGGACAGAAACCTGATCATCATGAACGATGGCCAACCAACTTTTGGCGAATTTATGGACCATGGAAGCGTTCTGGATCTCATCCTGGTATCCCCACAAATTGGCAGCATTTCCGAGGGGTGGACGTCAGATGATTCATTCGGCAGTGATCACTTACCGGTCTTCTTGTCAATACAAGTGAGAATCTCAGACATCTGCGACTGCTCAAACAGATTGAGGCTACACAAAGTGGATTGGACTCTGTTTGCTCAACTTTTCAAGGAATACGTGGAAGGTGTAAACTACCCACAAAATACATCTCCGATCATAAAATATAAAAAGTTTACCGAGGTATTTATTGAATACTTAAAAAGGGCTGGAGCCTACATCCCAAGCAAAAACGGGAAGAATTCACCCATTAAACCCCTTTGGTGGACGAAGGAATGTGAGGAAGCACTAAATACTAAAAAATCAGCACGAAAACGATACCTCATGGATAGTACAAGGAATAATCTTGATTTGTATATGACGGCAGAGAGGGAGGCTAATATTACCCTAGCCGAGTGCAAAAGAGAGTCATTCAAAAAACTCTGCGAATCGATTACCCCAGGTGTGGGGACGAAAAGGATCTGGGGCCTAGTCAGAGCCTTTCAAGGAAAGTTCAACCCCTCCATAAACGCATCCAACGACCCAAACGCAAAGGACTTTGCCGAACTGAAGGAGGAATTAATTCGAAGCGACATTCAAACTTTCCAAACGGATATAGTGGAGATGAATGAAAGATCCGAACAGGACTCATACAACAAACCATTTACGAAGCAGGAATTCTACACAGCGTTGGACGCTTGTAAAAAGGAATCAGCCCCTGGCTTGGACCAAATCAGCTACGAGGCAATCAACAAATTACCTATAATAGCTAAGGAATTTTTGATCGAGATATTTAATGACTGCTTTAAATCCTCTCTTTTTCCTGAAGAATGGAAAACATCTTTGGTCAAATTTATCCCAAAACCTGGAGGCAAAGGGTACAGACCCATCTCCCTGACTTCAAATATGGGGAAACTCATGGAGAGGATTATACAAAGACGACTAGAACATTTTACGGAAAACAGAAGGCTCATACCACCAACTCAATTCGGATTCAGAAGGAATCGCTCGACAATTGATTGTACCACGGTTTTGGTGACTGATTCTTTGACAGGCTTCCAAAAAGGATTGGGAACAGCGGTTCTCGCCATCGACCTCAAAGGTGCATTCACTGCCCTGTTACCCAAAAAAATAGTGGAGGAATTAAGGGACTGTGAAGTACCAACTAGAATTTTTAACTTCGTAACTCACATGATCACAAGCAGGAAACTTGTTTTTGGAGATGCCTTCAGTTCTCCAAAGCCCTGCTCCACAGGAGTTCCGCAAGGCGGAGTTCTCTCTCCGATCCTGTTTAATTTGGTTCTGCGAAAAATTAATAAATATCTACCTACAGACATTAAATTACTCCAATATGCTGATGATATCTTGCTTTATTACAGATTCAAAGAGATTGACAAAGCAATTACACTACTGGAGAAGGCGACCAGGAAACTTAAAATATACCTTCAAGAATTTGGACTTGAAATAGCTCCAAAGAAGTGCCAACTTTGTATTCTCGACAGAAGGCGTTTGGATCACTCTGAAGTCTCGCTCCAAGTTGAAAATATAACAGTCAAAGCAAGCCCATCCCTGTTATATCTAGGTATCATGCTGGATACAAAATTGTCTTGGAAAAATCATGTTGAACACATAGGTGCTAAAGCGCTGGCGGCAATCAACGTATTGAAAACGCTGGGCAAAGTCTCATCTGGCGCCAATCCGGAAGTCTTTTTACAAGTATACAAGGGACTAATTAGAGCACACCTCGAATGGGGTGCACCTCTCTTTGCAGGTGCAACAGTCAGTCATCTCAAAAAATTGGACAGGATTCAATACCAGGCGCTGAGGTTCGCGCTAGGCTGCATGCGCACCACCCTTATACCAATTCTGCTAGCAGAAGCGAATGAACCACCGTTGGAAGTAAGGAGGAGTCTCATACTTAACAAATACTCATTAAGGATCTCCGGATGGAGAGATAATCCCGTCGCCCCAAGAATCCGAGGATTAAAAGAGCGCACAGAGAAAACTCCCAGTGCCCAACGTTTTATTAAAAAATTTGCTCCATTAAGCTTTATTGAGCCAGTGTTCTCAATGCTTAATTGTACATCCAAACCAAACAGACCGACATACTTCGACCACCCCTGGGCAGAGATCGTAGCTGATTTTAACCCATTGATAGACCTGGAGGCAGGATATAATCTTAAAAACACACAACATGGAGAATCGGAATTCAAGGACCTTCTCGACTGTAAATTCAAGGAAGAAACTCCAATTTTCACAGACGGCTCGTATTCAGAGAGAGAGAGAAGAAAGCAGGTTCCAGCTTCTACATTCCGTCCCTAAATATAAAGCAGGGGACCCGACTTTATAACTGCTCTTCGGCACTCTCTGCAGAGCTGCATGCAATCTTTCAAGCTCTTAAATACACTCTGGAAGCTAAGTTGGATAAAGTCGTGATATGCTCTGATTCAATGATAGCTCTTCTAAGAATTAAAGAGAGAATGAGGGATTTCGCGATGGACCCGATCATACACAAAATCGCAAAAATAATCCTTTCTCTAAGTGTAAGGGTAAAAAGCATAAAATTCCTATGGATCCCAGCGCATTCCGATATAAGCGGAAATACACAAGCGGACAAATTGGCCAAAATTGCGTTAACAATAAACATAGGGACCAAGATTTATCCCCTCCAAGAGGAGATGGTCAAATTACTGCAAAAAGACCACTCAGCTGGAATGCAACTTCGATGGCCCTATTTTGACAATGCAAGAACCAAACAAAAATATTTTGAATACGTTGACGTGAACACTCCTCGACCATGGTTTGCCGGTTATGCTGCCCCCAGAAAGTACATCAACCTCATTACCCGAATGAGAACAGGACACATCTGCACAGGAACACATTTCGGAAGGATGGGGTGGAATCTTTCCACTCAATGCAGATGTGGATTCGAAACCAGCTCAATTAAACACTATTTACAAGACTGTGTTATTTTTAACAACGATAGAGAAAATTTCCGAAGTTTTCTAAGGGAAAAACTGGGAAATTCACACATTTTCCTGGAAAATCTGGATTTCTTGATTTTTTTCCCTAATTTGGAGATCATACAGGAAATGGGCAAATTTTTTTTGGGTAAAGATATAATCATTTAAACTAAATTGTACTCCAAGATGGATTCACTTATCCCAAAAGTAAAATTTGGTCCCTAAAAAGAAAAATTAATAAAAAGTAGTAGACTTAGAACCAAAACTTTGCTTCGAAGGAGAGTTGAGTTAAAAATATAGCTATAGGGGTCCGTACACATAATACGTCACGCAGCTAGGGGGAGGGAGGGGGTCTGAGAATTGTGACTTAGTGTGACATGGGGGAGGGAGGGTGAAATCATGTGTTACGTCACAATCTTTTAAATTCAAAGATTATAAGAAATTATATGTGACAATGTCACTTTTTCTAAATAAAACAAGTTAAAAATGCTTTAAACTATTTAATATCTATTATGTACCTGTTTAACATCTATTGGCATATTATTTATAATATGATGATAAATAATATATTCTCTTAATTTGA